TCCCAGGGTCCTGGGATCGAGCCCCGCATCGGGCTCCCTGCTTGGCCGGAAGCCTGCTTCTCCCTCTCCCACTCCCCCTGCTTGTGTTCCTGCCCTTGCTATCTCTCTCTCTCTGTCAAATAAATAAATAAAATCTTAAAAAAAAAAAAAGAAAGAAAGAAAGGCATAGTCAGCATAAAGGCAAATATTTAAAACCATCTCCCATGAGATTTTCTTATCTCTTTTATACTAGTAAAACACATCTGTATGTGCATGTATTTATAGAAATAAAATATTGGTTTTGAGAAAAGTTCTCTAGTATCTTAGTATTTAAATTAAGGGAGAGGCTTTGAAGTGTAAAAGTCAATTCAAGTCATTTCTCTGCTCAAAACTGAACGCTTCACATGTTACTCCAAGTAAAAGCCACATGTCTTTAATATGGCTCACAAAGTCCAACCTGAGCCCATCCTCCATTGTTTGTCCGGCTCCATTTTCTAGTCCTATCCCCCCGCTCACTCTGCTCCAGTCACACTGTCCTCCTTGCTGTTTCTAGAACTCTCCAGCCTGGTTCCTTCCTTAGGGCGTTTGCACTTGCTGATTGCTTTGCCTGGAATGTTGTTGCCCTAGATTCTGCGTGGTTAACATCATCTCTTTCACATCTCTGTTCAAAGAACTTCTCAGTGTTGCCCAGATTGACCACTATATTTAAAATTGCATCCTGCCCCTTTATTCCCAGCATTCTTAAGCCCTCTTGCTCTGGTCTAGTTTTTTCTATTAAACGATATGTTATTATTTAAGTGGTGGGTGCAGTGGTGGTCATAATTATTTAAAGCATTCCAAACTCTATATATTGTTCAGTTGACAATAAATATTATTTTCAGGTCCTGTGAGATTAAGTATGTATTTAAGTTTCTGGGAAGACAGAAGAAAAATAGAAATAGAGTATACATACTCCCAGCTATTAGAGAGAAATAAAGGAAAGAAGAGGGGAAAAATCAATCTGGAAAAGACAAGGAAAAAAAAAGAAGAAACATAGAGAAAGCAGGATAAAATGAAAGTACAAAATAAAAAATAAATCCAAATATATATGTTTTCCATAAATATATGTGTTTTTTTTTTAAGATTTTTTTTTTTTTTGTTTTGCTGGTAAAATAATTGTCTTTTATTTTTAAGGTTGACAAATTCTAGAGCACAACACGAAAGGGGGCCTCTTAAGGGAGAAGGAGGGCAGGAGACATTGAATTCTCAGGTGTCAGCAAGTGGTACTACTGACCAACGACTTTCGGTTTATTCTTCTCATGTAACAAGAAGTCCAGAGGTTGGCAGTCCGTGGCTGGTGCAGCAGCTCCTCGAGGCATGCTATCAGGATCCAAGTGCCTTGACTCTTTCCATTGTACCACCCAGAGAAAGGATCTGCCTCCCTTAAGCCAAAAAATGGCTCCAATACTCCTAGGTTTCATGTATGTGCTCCTGGATGTAGCAGGATGTAGCGAGAAGGACAAAGGTTTGTGGTTGCCAGATCTGCTTTCTTGTATCAAACACCTTTATTGTAGCTTTATTAAGCAGACTTCTATTTGTATCTCTCTCTTTTATAGTGTTATTAACTACAGTCTCCATGTTATACATTAGATCCTCTCTTCTATCAAGATCCCTTCTTTTAGAAGCTGACTTGTACAAGATCCACTTTTATCTCTAAAATTGCCAGAGCTGTTATATGGCTACCTTTAGCAGGAGCTGGGGAAGTATTCTTAAATAGGCACATTATCATCTTCCTCCAAAGTGGGCTTCTGCTAATGAAGAAGATGCAATAGTCGATCTGTTTAATGACAAAATCCTCTGTAGCCATTATGTTAAATTTTTGAATTTTACTGATCTGGAAAAATGCTCAGAATATGTCATGTGAAAAGCAGGACAGAAAACATATGCAATATAATCTCAATTTTGTTTAAAAAATACATACCCCACAAGTGGGAGTTCCAAAATGTTAATAGTAGTTAATATCTACAGAGTTAGCCTCATGTCAAAGGGGTATTGATAGACAAAGTTTTTATCATACTAAATTTTTTCTGAATTTTCTATAATGAACTTGTATTATCTTTAAATAGAAAAAAAAAGTGTCACTTTAAAAAACACCCCATATACTCTTAAGGGTGACTAAGTCCAAAATATTTACACTTACTCAGTTTCATCTTCATTGTCAAAAGAAAGGAGGCAACTGTTTTTGATTTGCTTTTGTGAGTTCTTTTTAACTGAGTCCTGCTTATTTATTTCACCTTCATTTGCCTTCCTCTTTTTTGAGCTTGCTGTTAAACCTGAATATTTTTCATCCGAGGAACGTTTGACTGGTTTTCGATACATGATTCTTCCATCAACTATAGCCGGTTCTTCATCTGCTTTGGCAGCCTTTATTTCTGCTTTAATTTTCATGACTTCTTCAACTGACAGGTCTCCCTTTTTTAAAACCACCACTTGGGGCTGTTCATCTTCTTTGTCACTGTGATCACCATCTTCATCTGGGAGCTGAGGCTGGATTCTCTTGGTTTCCACGGTAGGCCCTTCCCTGTAGCCGACCTGTTCCTTGAAGCGAGCCAGGAACGCCGGTTCGGCTGGCCGCACGTACGAAACCTGGTTCCGCTTGCTCATTGCTGCTCCCGGGAAAAACAGGTTTCCGGTACCTTTTTTAAGATTTTATTTATTTATTTGACAGAGAGAGACACGGCGAGAGAGGGAACACAAGCAGGGGGAGTGTGAGAGGGAGAAGCAGGCTTCCGCTGAGCAGGGAGCCCAATGCGGGGCTCGATCCCAGAACCTGGGATCATGACCTGAGCCGAAGTCAGACGCCTAACGACTGAGCCACCCAGGCGCCCCAATATATGTGTTTTTAATAAGAATAAATTATCTGAATTCTCCAGTTAAAAGCAAACGTCAGCCTGGATAACACACACATGCACATACACACACACTCTCACACATACAGACTGAAGGTATAAAGATACCAAAAGATTGAAAATAAAAGGGTATGAGAAGATAAGTAAATATGCAAATATGTATGAAATGAAAGCTGGTGTAGCCATATTAATATTGGACAGAATAGACTTGAAGATTAAACAGTGGAAAAGAAGACCAGCACATAATTAAAAGGTTTAATTTATCATTCCATGCTTAATTGTACTTAATAACATAACCTTAATTATATAAAGCAAAAGTTAGTAGAATTATAACCAGAAACTGATATATTTACTGTGTATCCACAATTTTTCAAATTGGTAAATGTCACCTATCACCATGGGAAATTTTAATAATTCTCTCAGTAATTGATAGATTAAGCAAACAAAAAAATTCAGTAAAGATATAAAAGATTTAAATAACACAATTAACAGGTTAAATCCAATGGACATATATAGAAAATGAAACCATACAATTGGTGTATATACATTCTTCTCAAGCTCATGGGTCATTTATAAAAACTGATTATATTTTGGGGCATAGAGTAAGAATTCAAGGAATCAGTATCATATAGATCATGTTTTTTGACCTCAAGGCAATTGTTAGAAATCAATAAGATGATAAAACAATAAGATAAAAAAATTAGGAAATTAAAAAAAACTTTCTATAGCTCATTGGTCAAAGGAAAAATCTTGTTAGGAATGAGAAAAATTTGTTCTGGAATAAGAAAGAACTTGCAGGAAACTTAAGAGTCTTAAATACTTGTATTATAAAAGAAGAAATTTAAAAATTATTAACCTAATCAAGTTACTTTAGAAATTAGAAAAAGCACAGGAGAATAAGCATAAATAAAGTTAAAGGAAGGAAATAATAAAGATAAGAGAGAAATTAATAAAATTAAAAATGAGATACAGTAAAGATAATCAAGAAGTCTAAAGTTGACTCTTTGAAATACTAGTAAAATTATCAAGTACACAGCAAGGTTTGTATCAAAAAGAGAAAGGTCACAACTAAAATAAAGAATGAAAAAGAGGACTAAGAACAGACAGAACGGAGATTAAAAAGATACTAGAAAATTACGGACAACTTTATGCCAACAAATTTAAAAACCAAGTGGATAAAGTCTTAGGAAAATGTTTACCTTTAATTGAGTTAAGAAGGTTTAAAAAAACCTGAATCATCTTATAACCATTGAAGAAGTTGAATCAGTAGTTATATATCTTTCCATTTATAAAGCCTGAGGCCAGAGTTTTTCTCTTGAGATCTAGTGAAAATTCAAGGAAGACATAATTTCAATCTTGGATGGAACTAGAGGGTGGAGTTATACTAAGTGAAAGAAGCCAATCAGAGAAAGACATTTATCATATGATCTTGCTGATATGTGCAATTTAAGAAACAAAGCAGAGAATCATAGGGGAAGAGAGGAAAAAAAATAAAACAAGATGAAATCAGAGAGGGAGACAAACCATAAAGAGACTCTTAAGCATAGGAAACAAACTGAGGGTTGTTGAAGGGGAAAGGGGTGGTGGGGATTAGATTAATGGGTGATGAACATTAAGGAGGGCACATGATGTAATGAGCACTGGGTATTATAGAAGATTGATGAATCACTGATCTCTACCTCTGAAACCAATACATTATATGTTAATTGGATTTAAATAAAAATTCTAAAATAAGTATTTCAAATATTGTCTAATTCATTTTATAAGGATGGTACAATCTTGATTTACAAACCAAACAAAGAGTAGGAGGAAAAAAAATTGTAGAGCAATCTTATTCATAAAAATAGATGTAAAAATTCTAAATAGATTCTTATGAACTCAGCAGTGTATGAAAAAGTCCAATACATAGATTCAGTGTTATATTTAAATATCTTTCACCACATTACAGATTAAAATATTAATCCATAAAGGAAAATATTGATCAACATGTTTGTATTAAAATTAAGATCTGTTTATCAAAAGATTCCTTAAAGTGAAACATGAGATTAACTTAAGAGAAGAATTTACAATATATATAAGTGACAAAGAAATGTTACCTAAAATATACAATTCCTCTTAAAAGATCAATAAGAAAAAAGTAAGCAACTCGACAGAAAAATAGGCCAAGATATGACCAGCCATTGCTAAGAAGAAGAAACAAAAATAAACAAAAAATTATAAAAAGATGCTCAAATCCATTAGTAACCAGGGAGATGCAAATTAGAACCACAAAGAGATACAATATAGTACTGTTTTATATTCCATTACAGTGGCAAAAAAATAAAGTATATAATTCCAATGGTTCTTAAGAATAAGAAATTCTTATATACCAATGATTAAAAAATATAAATTTATACAAAATCTTGGGAAATAATTTGAAATTATCCAGTAATGTTGAAGATGTGTAAATCTTACAAGACAGTAATTACACTCTTATTTTTATACCTGGGAGGAACTCTTATACCTTTGGATCTAGAGACTTGTATAAGAATATTTATAGCTGCACTGTTTATGATAGCCCCAATCTGGAAGCAACCCAAAGGTTCAATGTCAGAAGACTAGACATACAAACTGTGGCAAACTCATATTGTGGAACACTATACTGCAGTGGAAAATGAATGAAGTACAGCTACTCACATCAACACGAAGACAGCTCCCACACAGAACATGGAGTGAAGGAACAAGTTGTAGAAGACTATGAACAGTATGACTCTGCTTACAAAGTATAAAAAAACAGGCAAAATTAAACAATATTTTTTAGAGTAATAAAGATATGTGGTGAAATATCAAGAAAAGTAAGATAATGATAAACACAGTTCAGAATTGAGGGGAGAGATGAATTGGGGTCAGGCTATTGGGACACAACTCCAGGGGGCATCCTTCCCTCTATATTTCATGTGAATGACGATCGTTGGAGTTGTGAACAGTGGCCGTTGGGGAGGAGAGTCCCGGCACTTCATCATCTCAGCTAAGATCAGGTTCTTGAGCTGGGTAGTGGATCGTAACATATATCCTCTTGTATGTAAAAGAGAATTAGTAAAATAGGAAAAGAAGTGTAAAAATTCTTGTGGAGAGAGAATATGTTCTTGTTCCAGTTCCACCTCGAATATAAAACTATGTCATCTTTGGCAAGTCCCTTAGTCTCACTGAGTCTCATTTTTCTCATTTTAATAAATGGTTGTAAGAAATCCAGTCCTACCTATTTTATAGGATTGTGTGAGGATCAAGTGTACTTGAAAGCATTTAATATGTTACTAATGAAATGAAATATTCATATGCAATACAGTTTTTCTACATATGAACTCAAAGGTTTATCTCTGCAAGTAATATTCAAAATCCACATGCTGAAAGGTGAGAATGTTCAATTTAATCATGCAGCTCTTCTTCTGCCAGTTGAAACGTTCTGCACAGTTATTAGCCAAAGTCTGTCTAAACTGTAGCAGCCATGGAGCTAGCCTTGGAGGGGATACTGGCCTCAGAATTAGAAAACTTGGTTTTGAACCCTGGCTTTGTCATTTCCTAACTCTGAGATGTTGGCAGTTCACTTCCCACGTCTGCCCTTAGGTTTCTTTACCTGCAATGTAGTTTTATTGGCATTATTCTAGAGAGGCAATTGCAGTATTTTCTTCAGAGACAGTGGGGCTCTCCTTCATTCTCTGAGTCCACGTGGGCTGCTTGGGCAGCAGGGGTGGGGGTGCCCGGTTTCTTTGCCCGGGCCATTCATGCTAGTGCTGGCTTTTCATTATGGTGAACAATACACCCAACCTGATTCTTTTCTTCCGTGTTGGTTTCTTCAGTGAATCGGCTATTGTCCATCTGCAGACAATGACCTATTCTGACTTAATTTTCGACTTTGTTTGTGGACCACTTGTAAGGCAGTCAGTCTTATCAGACGCTGCCACTTGAGTGTCTGGATCTAGGTGAGCCTGATGCTAATGTTGGACTTCCAGTTAATGAGGAGCCATAAAATTAAAATTTTCGTGCAGTCTTTATCACTGAGTAGAACACATGCCAAATTCTAATCATTTCAAAATCTGAATCTTTAGTTCTGTCTGCTAGCATTTACTTTTGTTTCTGGATGTCCGCTGTATACTGCCAATAGAATATTCCAATGATCTCTATAGTAAAACATATCTGAAAGTAAACTCTTTATCATAATTTATCAGGATACAAGTGCTGTGAGGGCAGGCACCTTGTCTTGCTCACTGTTATATCCCAGTGCCTAGAAGAGTGCCTGGACATGATAGGTCAAAAAATGTTGTTAAAGTAATTAAGTCCAGACTCCTCAAAACCTTCAGATTATGATGTATTTCCAGTTACCCTTAATGAATGCTTTTCTTCACTGTGGCAGTTCTCAAGGATGTTGAAATGTGGTGGTTTGGGAAGTGAGTTTATCAGAACCAGGGAACTTTGTCAGTTGAGAACTACTGATATTAGAATTATAAATAACATTTTATTTATTTATTTATTTATTTAACTTATTCATTTGTTTATTTTTTAAAGATTTTATTTATTTATTTGACAGAGAGAGACACAGCGAGAGAGGGAACACAAGCAGGGGGGAGTGGGAGAGGGAGAAGTAGGCCTCCCGGGGAGCAGGGAGCCCAGTGCGGGGCTTGATTCCAGGACCTTGGGATCATGACCTGAGCCGAAGGCAGACGCTTAACGACTGAGCCACCCAGGTGCCCCTATAAATAACATTTTAAAAAATAAATCAAACTTTGCATGAAAAACTCAAATTCA